CAAAAACAAAAATATAAGCTAGTGTTCCAGATGTTAAAAAATATAATATTTAAAACGCTATCTGTTTATCTCGTATCGATTTGTTTATCTGTATTGCCAATCAGTTCGTTAACTGAAACAATACGGATTTATTTAACCTCCTATGTTGCTGCACTTCCGCAGTTAAAGTAAGGTTTCTCGCACTTTCGAGCGTGTCCATTACTAATTCACACGTACTGACTTTCAGTGGAACGTAGCGTATCTACTCTTATCGAAATAATTTAAATTTTTCTGTAATTGCCTTGTAAATGGGGAGGCAAATGCGGACAAAAAACAAGAAATTGAAAGAGCGACTGAAAAAGAAAAAACGGGAAAGGCATAGAGGAACCACAGAAAAGCGAAATTAGAATACAAATATAGAAAGACAGATAATGAAATGGACAAAGTCAAAGTGAATAATTGACAGAGAAAAATATAAGAAAACGAATAGATTGAAAAACAGATAAAAAAAACGAAGAATCGAAAAATATATAAACGCGAAGACATCCATAATGATAAAAAAATAATAAGAAAAACGGATACACGGAAAGGGGAACATTAAGATATGAAAAAGAACAACTGAAATGATATTAAGAGAGAGAAACAAAGACTAGGAAACAGATGAAAAAACTGGAACAAAGAGATGGAATAAAGATATAAAAAAGCGTAAGAACACAGACTAAAAGAAAATTACATGAAGATAGGAAGGAAACAGGAGAGAGGAACAGAAGTATGAAAAAAAAATACAGAAAAGATGCATACAGAGAATAGGCTTAGTAAGAAACGTCCCTTGAACCCTTACAAACAGCCACAGGTGGTGAGGCTTCACACAACCTTTACGAATAGCCACAGGAGGTGAGGCTTCAAAGAACCTTTACGAACAGTCATAGGCGGTGAGGCTTCACAAAACCCTTACAAACAGTCATAGGCGGTGAGGCTTCACAAAACCCTTACAAACAGGCACAAGTGACGAGGCTTCACACAACCTTTACGAACAGCCACAG